AGAGGAAGGGAGAGGGAGAAAGAGAGAAACATCAATGATGAGAAAGAATCATCTATCAGTTGCCTCTTGCATGTCCCCTACTGGGAATTGAGCCCACAACCCAGGCATGTGCCTTGATTGGGAATTGAACTGTGACCTCCTGGTTCATAGGTTGATGCTCAACCATCAGAGCCACACCGGGTAGGTTAAAAGTCTTACTAAAAGTCTATAAAATTATATGGGGTATCAGAGAAGAAGAGATGATAACCTTTTGCAAATTTTGATGATAAGTAGATAACTAGACTCCTGATTGAATTTTCTAATAAACTTGAAACTTGTCTACTCCTGTTATCTCCCTTCATCTTCCTTAATGGCCATTCTTTCTTCCTTCACTCACGATCATATGCTTCTAAGAGTTCTCTCCTTCATAATTCATTCTGGATTTTGCTACCGAAATAATTTTTCTACATGGCTAAATGTCTCCTGTCACTTACAGAATAAAGTCTTAACTCCTTTGATTGATATTTAAAGCTTATTATGATCTACTCCTGCCTGACTTCAAACCTGATCTCTTGACATTCTACACTATGCAGAATTATTTGCTGATTCTCCAACCTGTGGGAAAGAAGCTAGATTGAAGTGTAAACAAAGATATAGAAGAAAGACAGCATCTCTGAAGGTTTCTTTAGTCTGTGACTTAGGACACAAGTAGAAAAAGTGACCTTAGAGAGGACAAGAAGAGAGATCCCGGTTGCTCAGAAATAGTCTCGCATGCTTCTTGCCTTTGCATGTGTGCCATCCCATACCCATCATGCTCATCCCCTCCTTGTTAAGTTGGTGAATTTCTCTTTTCTCTTCACATCCAAGTTCAAGCATTATGCCTTCTGGGATGCTTTCTTTAACTTCCTTCTGTCTGTTGTCATCCCCCTGGCTTCCACTTTTGTCCACATGCACCAAAAAAAGTACATCAAGTACATCAGGGTACTCTGGAACTGGCAGCCATGCAACATTGTGGAAAAGAATCCAAAATTTAATGCAAGCATACTCGTTGTTCTTATTGGCTTGGAATGTGATAAATGTTTTCACCTTTGTTCCCAAATCATTAGCACTTACACACAATTCATTTTTTTAAAGGCCATATTTAAACCTTTAACAAATTGTTCACATAAGCTTGTGGTTAGTTGATGGTGATGATGGGGTATATAAGTTTAGAGGATGGGATTGTTAATTGCAAGCACAGATATATTTGTTAATAGATATTGGAATGGTTTACAAAATAAACAATCATTTTGTGAGATCAGTTAAACAGTTTTTTTGTCATTCTAATATGAAATGCCAAATAAAAATATTAAATAAAATGCCACTACCTCTTTCATGTAATTAACTTGTGAGTCTTCCCTTATTTATTTTATGATGGAAAGTCTCTTCTTAAAAGACTCCAAAAGGACAACACAATATTGCCAATTTTAGGTGGGCATTCGCTCTCTTCATTAGGAGGCCGCCAATCAACGACTCTCTTTGATCATTGATGTTTCTCTTTCTCTCTCTCCCTCTCCCTTCCTTTCTGAAATCAACAAAAAAAACCCTATATTTATTTAAAAAACGAGGAAGAGCAAATGTTCTGTGAGCATATAATTTAATCCAGTTCATTGGTTATAAATTTTATCTTTTAATGTGATATAAATATTACAATGTTGTGGCTATTTTGGTGAACAACATGAAACTCTCATGGTCTGTAATTTGTAGTAGGAATTGTACCAAATAATAACATTGGGGATCAAGCCTGCAACCTGGGCATATGCCCTGACCGGGAATTGAACCATGACCTCTTGGTTCATAGACTGACACCCAACCACTGAGCCACACTGGCTGGGCAAGAAATAATTTTTACTCCAAAAAGGAATTGAAATGATTTACAACAACACATATGCTTAATACAATAGGAATAGAAAATGAGGACCATGGAAAACAAGGAAAATCAAATATGTTTTGATTTCTTGAGTTTTGTTACCTTACTAGTTTTGAGCTTCCTTGGAGCCTGGACAAAAAGAGAGAAATGTGATATATTACATAGCTTTGAATATCAGAAATGATGAAAATTACAAATTTCACAGGGGAAGTTTTCTTTGCACTAAATTCTGGGATTTCCTTACCCTAAATTCTGGTAAGGAATTTTTTTTCTTTGCTTGATACAGGAAGCACTGAATGGTGAGTGGGAAATGCAGAAATGGACTTCATACTGTTGTATCTTAGTGCAGACATTCACAAAATTTATAATATGGCTTTTGAGCATAAAAGCAGTTGTATATTGTAATCTGTGAAAATTCCACGAAGGGCAAAATAAACAAGGTCTAAGTAATGCTTTCCAAGTGAATTACTTTACTCAAGGATGAATCTTAGAACATCAATATTGAAACAAATATATTTCTCCAACAAACTGCTCCTGCTATTTGTCCCCCCCTTTTTTTTCCTAACATGAACCTCTGTTAATTGCCTTTTTTATTTTTTTTAAACATGGATGGAAGGAAGGCCAGCTCAGATTGAGTTGACAGGTATCACATTTGATAATGATTCTGAACCTCTTAGTATTGCGTAGTATTTTTCCAAAACACATACATATGTGTATATAGTTATTTATATAAATAATGTATGGTTCCCTAGCCATACCATTAGCCTGGGGGGGAGGGTGGTGGTGGGCAGGGATTATGTTGTATTGCTTATCATTTAATCCTCAATGACTAAAACAATGCCAGGAACATAGTAGTGTTTGATACATTTGAATGAAGAAATATTAATGTTCCTTTGTTTTTTTCATGTGGACTTTGCCAATGTTGTTTTTTTATTGTAAGCTATAGAAGGGTATTCATTGCTCATTCATAAACTATGACATGGTCTCTGCTCTGAAGGAATTTAAAATCTGTTTAAAGAGACAAGATACATATATGTGAAAAATTAATTACTCTGATAATACAAGAAAGTACATATCAAGTATCAAATGAATAGTACAGACTGTGAGAGCTGTGGGGATTTAAGAAGAGAGATCATGGTGGGCCAGGAAGGCAAAAGAAAACTTTGCTGCCAGTGTGGGATGAGTCGGAAGTATGAGTGAGATTATAACGGATGTAATGCAAAGAATTTCACAGATTTCAGGTCATGGTGTGGAGGGTGTGAGCAAAAGAGATGAGAACAACTTAGCTCTTTTTGGAGTGAGGAAAAACTGAGGTCATGCTTATTTTGACTGGAGTGAAAGGTTTGTGTTAGGAAAGAGCAGGAGGTGCAGTAGAAAGGTGGGCTGGCTGTACATTCTTTGGTCTTTCAATGCCAGTCCCATACTTTATCTCTTCCATTGTGGCATTTGAATCAAGGAAAGTATTTGAACAAGATGGAGGATGATGATGAGATTAATCTTGAAGCAGAATCTGGTGGGAGTTGGTGAGGAAGAGGTTAGGGGAGTAGAAAGGAAGTAGGCAATTATTTTTGGGGCCTCTTGCAGTCATTCAGCTTTGAGATTGTTCTGGTCAGTTTGAAATGTAGGTGGATGGTGGGTAGCAGGTTGGGGATATATGGAACCTGTGAACCTTCAACAACTGATGGGATAGGAGGCATTGAGAGTAAGGGTGAAATTACTGGGAACTAGGAAGATTGGGCTGGGTGACTATAGGAATGATTATCTTAAGAAAAGAGACAAAGTCATTATGAGAATGTAGTTACAGAGGATAATGAGTTCAGGAAATGATGGGTTGGTAATGAGAATGTAGGCAATGGCCCATTTACCTTGAATGATCCTCAGAAAAGCACAGTGTGGGTTTACTGAATTTAATCCAAGCCTGCCATTTCTTACTCAAACCTTGAGATCAGATATCTTTCAGAATCCAGTGCATGTGCTTACATTTAGTAGCTCACCCTACGGAGCTGAGAAAATACTCCATCATCAAACTCATTAATATATCTGTAGCTGAATATATACATATTCACATGAAGTGACATAAATAAAGCCTATAAACAGCCTCAAATCTGCGCAGGTTAGGTTTTGCTGCCAAATGAATTCAGGTTTGGCCAGGTGTTGCCAACAAATCAGTTAAAAGAGCAGAGTCATTTGGATTTCAGAATTATGGGCCCAGGCTTGACTATAAGCAATATTTCATATATATCTTTGGTTCCCCCAAGATACTGTTACCGAAAAACCAGAGAAGAACCAAGCAACGCTTAGAGAGATGGAGTTACATTTATTACGCGCGGGCCCAGAGGAAAATGTATCTCAAATTCTGGGTGGAATCACACACGAAGTTTCTCATATTTATACGATTTTACCTTCTTTGTCTCCCAAATATGGGGTTTTTCCGGTTCCCTTTGCAAGTTCTTAAAGGTCCCTATGTGCTGGGGCTTTGAGACCTCCACCAAAGGCTTGGCCTGACGCCAGCACTGATAACTTCATCTGGGGAAGGCTTAATGGCCTCTCTGAAATGGGGAGTAGTCTATTATCCTTATTATTTAAGCCAGCAAGCATTTACAGAAGCCAGAAATAGCAGGGTTAAAATTTCAAACAACAGTTTTTATATAGGATGGATGCTTCAATACCAGCTGCATAGAAATCATGATTCTTTTTTTAGAAGCATGTCATTATATAAAAAAAAAGAAGAATGGTTTGACTGATAACCTGGCATCTATGAAATATACATGTTAAAAGTGTATTTTTGTTATATTTATATTATGCAAAATATTAAGGAGTACGCTATTTTCTGTGTACTTATGTCTTCTAGTTTTAAACAGAAAGTTCTGAATAAAGCATTCTCAACACATCCAGACATTTGAGAAGACAAATTCTCAGATTTTTTTTCTTTTGTTTTATTTTAACAAAAGGCTCTTTTCCATAAAATACCAAGTAACTCACTCAATAATGTTTTGTCATTGAATGAATTTAATAAAGCTAAGTGCTGGTTTGTGTTATATTGTCTTACTAGTAGCTTACACCTCGTTTGAAATTTTTTTCTTTGTGTTTGAGCTACACATATGATTTTATCAATTCAAAATAGGAAACATTCCAGAAAGTGTGGGCAAAATAGTCCTGGTGATATAGGAATATCCAAAGCACAAAGAAATAAATTTAATCATAATTTAGGAAGGAAAACCATTTAATACAATGATATGAGTATGATCTGACTTCTTTTGTGTTAATTTGAGATATAAGTAGCTGAATAGTATAAATAATCCTCAAGTTTATCCTGATAGTTGATAGTAATTTTAAATAAGTGTATATTTATTACTACGCAGAATGATTGTCAACAATTATTTTAAGAATATACAATCAAGGTGATAAGGACTTCATTTTGAAGGAATTACTTGAAGAAATGCTATATATGTAGCCAAATGTTACTTAGAATACCTGTAGTTTTAAATCCTCTCAAAATACAGTATTTGATACTCATGATAGCCATTATTTAAATGTTCATGGCCATCTTCATTCTCAGCCAGTGTAACTGAGTGCCAGAGTCTTTGTTTGTCTTGACACTTGAGTTGTCAACCCATAATTCGTTTTTGTAGAGTAAAATCATTTTAGAATCAGAAGTGACAGCAGCATTCAAGTTAGAGAAAGATGTTATTCCAATGCTTGGAGTGGCCTTTAACATAGAGAAAAGAAGCAAAGTTTTTGATATGAGAGGTTAGGAAAGGTAAGTTGGGAAATGATTGATGTTTAGCATTAAACTGATCCCCGAGGAATAACCCTCTTCCAGGGAAATTTGATGTCTAAGAGTTTTTGAAGTTGGCAGCCCTTTACAAAACCCTCATCCTGTAACTTTTTTTTTTTTTTCTGCAAAAAGCTTTATTGTTTCATTTGGTCCAATGCATGGGAGAGGGCTTCAGGGTGGTTAAAAGAATGACTAGTAGTTTCGGGAAGAGGCTCAGGTAAAAGCCAGACACCAGGGGATGCAGAGGGGCCTCTCAAAGGCCTCTGGGCTCCACAGGCTCCTAGTTGCGCTTGAGGGTGAGCCTTTGGAAGAGATATTCGCCCAGCCCAGCCCAGGGGCCAGTCAGCCTGCCGAGGTTAGTCAGGTGTTAACCATCTTCTTGATGAGTTTCACCTCCTCATCCAGGACGTGGTTCTCCAGGAACTCACAGAGATGAGGGCCTGCAGCTCCAAAATGGCCTGGTTCAGGTTCCTCTCCAAGGCCAGGGTGGCTCCCATGGCCCTGAGTTTTGCCCCACTCATCTTGGGAGGCTTCAGCACATCCTGGAAGAAAGTGCGGCTACAGTGCTGGTTTTGCAAAATTAAGAGATGCTCAGCACCTTTGTGCTTCTCTGCCAACTCTCAGAAGAAGTGGCCACTCCCTCGAGAGCCACACGGTGGGTTGACCAGAGAGAGGTAGGTCCAGGAGGCCCGCAGATGCAGGTTGGTCAGGCAGTTGACCGCAGCCTCCACTTCGGTGGTGGAATAATTACGAATATGGGAGCTCATGGTTGTTTGGCAATAAGGAGTTAAGGTAGAAAAAAACCCCGGTATGTTGGCTGGCCCCAGAGGTGGTTCTGAAGGTGATGATTGGAGAGTGGCCAGAGGCTGGAAGAAGGGGCGTCCCTGG